TCATTCTCTACTTGGGTAGGATAGCATTTCTCCCTGGCGTGGATCCCTCTTCAACTGTACTGGCTTCTAGGGGACAGTGCAAAATTGTATAATTTAGACATATGAGGAAGTAAAATTAAATAGCCATGAGATGAGCATACCATTAAACAGATCTAATTTATAATGGGCTCTTATGCAAATTGCCTTTGAGCTTTCAGTAAAAGAAAATGAGAAGAGATTAATAAGGACAGCTTGGACTAAAAAGTTGCAGAGAAAAAAAAAAGTAAAAACCTGTTTCAGCTCACTCTCCACACACCCCAGAGTGTTAAATAAGCATTCCCATTAGCCATGTAAATATAATGATGTTATAATAAAACTTGCACTTAACTTCTAAGGGCCAAACTCCTAATCACTTTGCCACAATGGCTCCAACCAAGTGAGTAAGATTTCAAATAAAATACCTGTTCTTTGCCATGTGATTCATTACTGGGGGGAGAGAGATCTGTTTTCATGCGTATTTTGCTCTTTGCCTGCTGCTGAATATCCAGCCCCGGTGAAGTCTGAGGCAGTTACTTGCCTTGCCATTAGGATGGAATTGCAGGTGCCAGGGCACTGTGGATGCTCCTCCTGCTGCACGGTTCCCTCCAATGGGTTAATAAAAGGACTTGGCACCAGTTTTGATCCCTTTTTGTTGTTCTATGAAAGACATGGGGGGCAGGGAAATCTAACAGCTAAGGAACTGTTGAAAGTAGTTTATTGCAAAAGATTTTCAGTTACTTTTGAGTTCATAGTGTTCTCTGATAAAGAAGTTAAAATGAGAAATAATATACTGAATATATTCAATTGTAAGAAACGTTTATTTTCTCAGAGAAAAAAGAGGTTTATTTCTGCCTTAGTTTGCAAGTGATGTAATATTCTGCATGCTTATTCCTTTGATTACAAAAGGGAAGAATTTTAGCTTTGTCCAGTGAAGCCATGCAGAACTGTGTCATTTTTCTTGGCACTGAGTTTTGCCATAGTTGTCTTGTTTACTTCATATTGACCATCTTGTTCCTAATTGTTGCTGCCTTCCCACATTCTCAGCTGAGGCATAATATACTAAAGCGAAGTCTTTTCCCTTTATGTGTATAATAATATATATAAATATTTATACACTGAGAGAGCAAAGTTATAAACATACTGTGTATACAGTTTTGCTGCAGACTGAGTATATTTTTATACTTGAGAAGCAGGACTTGATTCTGAAGAATTTGAGAAATCCTGTAAGCAATGTCATCTTCCCGTGCTAGCTTCTTGGTCTAGAAATGCTGTTATGGGAGTGCTGGTGTGTGGGAAGAAAGACCCATCTCTGTAGTATTTTATGGAATTAGAACAATGATCTTTTACATACCCTGTTGTTTTTTCCCCACTAAACCCAGGCTTGTGGCTTGGCCACACACCAGGCTTGACCCAGGTTTGTGTCCTTAAAGTAAAACCAAATTCTCGATGGAAGCAGGATTTTCCACTGGTTATATTTTCAACCCTTTTCTGACAGTGGAATATGATACTTAAAGCCACAGACATTAATTATTACCCATTGGAGGTCGCACTTTCAACCCATGGGACATTAATTTTCTTGATACATAGAAATTTTCAGCCTGTTAGTTTTAATTAAATATTTCAGAAGCACGTTTTCGTGTAAATGGACTGCAGTTTCTTATCCTTTACCCTTGATATTTGGCTAATTCTGCATATAATTATCAGCTTATTTTGCAAGCCTCCTTCAGAGCGTTTTCCTATTTCAGAAATCCATTTAGCTGTTATGTATTTGTCATTCAAAAAAAAGAAGGTGTCTTTGCCAACCATCAACCAACATTGTCAAGAAGGAGATGGGGAAAAACATCTTTCAGGTGTTCTTGGGAAGTGAAATTCAAATAATTAAAATAAGAATGATTTACCAGTCCTTTCTTGTGCCAGCAAACTGGTGTCTCTTAAGCATTTATAATTGCAGTGTGAGACCAAGCAGGAGTACCAGCAGAGCTACAGGGAGGATGGATACTCAGATTGTGTCATATAAAAGAGGTGCCAACTGAGGCGCGGGAGGGAGCTTGCCACTGCCTCTAGGAACCCAAGAATGCGTGGTGAGGCTGGAGGGGGAAGATGCTGGTTGTTCCCTGGATCCTGGCATAGCCCAGTCTCCTCTCCTGATGGGGTGTAGCAAATGCAGCTTAGGAGCAGGACCATGTCACCAGATTTGGATCCCATATTATCTCAAGTTTTTCCCTGAAGGCCATGTGAAGGTTGCGGGAATCTATGTTTTTCCATCTCAGAATGAAAAGAAAGCTTTAATTTTGTTTACAGGAGCCCCTCTGCTGGGGGTCTACCCTTCCAAAGCTGTTTTAATATGTGAAAGTGCAGTTGTGTATTGCAGAGTGATCCTGGGGAGGGGAGCCAGAAGGGAATTGGGACTTTGCAATTCCTGGGGTTTTGCCGCTGCAGCCGAGCACTAAGGCAGTGTTTTCAGTTAATGCTTCCAACCCATACCCAAAGCCTTTGAGGTCCCAGGTAGCATTCCCAATGGCTGTGTGCTCTCCTCAGCATTATGGTTTTGTCAGAAGGCTCCATCCTCTGATAGTATCTTGCTCTTCTCTAAACAATTAATAAAATGGAGACAAAAAGCCTAGAGGTTTAAAATATGTAATTATATAAGTAATTTAGAACTAGGAAAATGCTGCAGAAAGCAATTACAATTATACATTTCAGTAATGACTGACTTGGCCAAATACATGTTTTGTGTGTGAATTCCATGATAGATTTCAAGATGACTTGCTTGAGTATAGGGAAAAATTAATTCTAAATGCTGAGTACTTCCATTTCAGACATAAAATGTGGTTCATCTACCTAGTCAACAGGAGCCTGTATTATATGGACTTTCGCAGCTTAAATTTTGAGCAGCAGGGCAGGCAGTAACAAGTCTTCGAGGAAGAAGGCTTTTGAATAGTTCTAAGGGATGGCTTTTAAAAGAAATGTTTTGTACTTGATCATGCTGCAAAATATATTTCATTCCTTATATGCTATGGATTTCATGTGACTTGATTTGATTCAGGTATTTATTACAGAATTGTAAATGGCCAGCTGAGGTTAATGGGGTTTTATTTCCTAGTCTCCTCTCAGCCGGTGAGAAACTATAGATGAGACTTGTATTCTGTTCAGAACTTGTATATGTACCTGCTCAGGGCACAGACATCACTCCAAACTCAATTTGGATTGTCTGTGCCATTTTCAAAGGGAAAGTGTGTGGCTGCGGGTGCAACACTGTGCAGAGTCACCTGGAACCCTGACTCTCTGCAGTTCCCTGAGATGCTGCTGCAAGCCCTGCTGCCTCCCCCTCTTTGGGAACCACTTCTGTCTTTTGCCTCTTGAACCCCTCCTGGAAATTGCCTTCTGCTGGCCAAGGGATGCGGCATCTCTCAGCATGGGATGCTTCATGCAGCCAGGAGAGCTCGTAACCTCTGAGTTTCTGGTGACTTTTTTTTTTTCCGACTGGGGGTGAGGAATGGTTGTTTATTCACTTCTTTTAAAACAAAAAGAGTATGCCATGACTGTTTATTGTGCTTGCTCTATCCTTTTTTCTGAGAAAATAGACTTGTACCTTACCTATACCACAAACTGAGTGTGATCAGGAAATAAAAGTGTCTGTTGGTCCCCTACCTTTCCATGCTGATGTCTGGTAATACTATTGTATGCTCTCTAGTAAACTGTGGAGGTTTTGCTGTGCTGATTCTCAAAACAGATTGGTTATGTTGGGAAAGAAAACTATGTATGAACAAGACTTTCCTTTAAAATATTGGAAATGTGGTATCTGCAGAATATTACAGAATGTAGCAGGTTGTGACAAAGCTCTGAAATTGTGCCCCAAATTGTTGGCAGTGTTTCACATGGCGTGTCTGTTTGACGTATCACAAGTGAGCTATTTCGAGACCATTTGTTTACAGTTCTGGTGTTGGAAAGATTCAAAAAGTACTTCCACATTGCATGTACAGGCATATGAGCAGGCACACAAAATTAGACCTACCAGTCACTCCTGCTCATTTCATTGGGAAACCACCAGTGACTCAGGACTGTTTTGCAAATGCCCCAGTGTAGAATTGAAACATTTATTTCGTGTTACTCTGAGGGTTTTGTTTGGAGTTTTCAGCCCTTCCTCTTGCTCTAACTAAAGCTGTTTTGAGAGACCCACATCCAGAAATGTATGTGCACCCAGAGGTTGATGCTGCAAGGCCTGCTGGCAAGCAGAGGCTCTCTAGGTAGCTGTGTGGTTCTGGTGGTCAATAGGTGGTCTCTAAAAATTGTGACATTTTTCTAGATTGTTATAGAGAGTTCTGATTGATACCTGCCACAACCAGTTAACTTTTACATTAAATCATTAGCTCACGTTGAAGTGTTATCTCTTTCGTACCCCCATCTTCATATTCCCACAATGTGCTGCCCCTCAGCTGTGCCTGCCTTAGCGTTGGTTGCAGTAGTGGTATCCAAAAGGTGATCTGGGTGTAAAAAACAAACAAAAACCAAGCAAACAACCAAAACAAACTTATTTCCCAGGTACAGTTTCCAAACTAGATGAAGTTCACTGTGCAGTGCTCTGGAAAGCAGAATGAGTCAATCAATGGTGTTGGAGCATCTAGAGTGGATGGGGTGTGCTGAAGGGAGCAATCAAAAGAGGTGCCCAAAATAATTGAGGGAGTGTCATCTCATGAGACACAGATTTGGGCAGTGAGGTGGGTCCAAGAAGCTGCTACCCTGACTGCTTTTCTTCCACCTCCCATCCACTTCCCTGGCTGTGCTGCTTGGAAGTTCCTGAGGCCATGCTGGAAAATGTGGCTTAAACCATAGTTTGAAAACAGCCCTTTTCTTATGGAGCAGAGCCACAGAGCTGCTTCGGTGAAGTATGTGTGGGAGGGTTTTGTAGCGTTGGGCCATTTGAGCAACTCTTGAGCTGAGTTTGGTTTGACTCTGCTACTCTTCTCTTGTTTCCTCTCCAGAATTGGCCGGCTTTTTGATGGCACAGAGCCCATTGTCCTCGACAGCCTCAAGCAGCATTATTTCATTGACAGAGATGGGCAGATGTTCAGATATATCTTGAATTTCTTAAGGACATCGAAACTCCTCATTCCTGATGATTTCAAGGTGAGATTCCAAGGGACTCGGGTGTTTTGCATGATCCTTGGTAAACAAGGATCTGGTGTGTAGTCAAAAGAGAGAGCCCCAGACAGGGAAGAGGGACTTGCAGGGTATGGTGTTTGATTTCATGTACATGGCAAAAGTAAGCATGGAGTTGCTAAAGTGGTATCTTCCTTTCCTAGAGTGGCATCAGTATTAAATTTTCCCCTCCTGTCTCTAGTGTAATGAAGCAACCTTGCCAGGTTTGACCTTGGGAGATTAAATATTGTAGGATACTGATGGAAACAGAAAGGATGTTACAATCTGCAACTGACTGCTCATGAGCTTGGCTGATTACTTGTCCTCTCATCCGTTTTTATGCTTCTCCTCTGATTGCAGCAGCTCCAGTTTCCACTCCCACACTGAAATTAAGAAAATGATGTGGGAATCACAGTATTGACAAAATAAACTGCATACATGGTAATATTTGAGCATTAAGTCATAGAATATTTTCTCTCTCAGACTCTTGAAGGCATACTGCAAGTCTAATTTTGGAATTTGAGAGAAGTCAGGGATGAGTAGTTCCATGTTCATTATTTAAACTTTATTAAAGATCCTGCTTTTTTTTCTTTTCAATGACAAATTTGTGGTAGTTCACCGTGTTAGACATTAGTCTGCAGAGGCAGAGCTTCAGACTGCATGTGATGTTTATCTGCTAGTTGGTATGTGGGTGTATATGTGGTGTCAGAAAGCTGGAACAGATCTTTATCATTACTTAATGAACACACATCAGTGCAGCTGGCTGTGCCCCTAATTCACTGTGGGAAATACAGCAATTGGGATTGAACAGGAGAAGTGATGGGGAAGGGTTAGAGCTGTTCACAGTGGTATGCTGCCTTTTGTCCCGTGTATCTGAGACAGCTTTTCAGGTGTTTGGGGCGTAATAGGTGTGAGGTTGAGTTCAAGAGCTGTATTTCAGCAACCTTAGAGTCATCTGCTGTAGACACATCCTTGTTGCTCCCATGCGTGACAAGGGTAGATCTCCCTGAATAATGTGGAAGTTTGGAACCAGCTGATAATTTCCCTCTTTTGAAGTCTTAGGGCATCTTTGTGCTGCTCTTGGCACTTATCCTGGAGGTAATCAGAAATATGGGAAAAGGAAAAGCCACCTTTCATACAGTATTAAGAAATTACATGTGTAGAGCCTTTTAAACACATAAATGTACTGTAGCTGTGCCGAAATTAAAAATGCAACTCCTGGCAAGTTCACCCAACTATGATGTTCAAAGGGGTGTCTTCCCCAGTGGTGCTCAAAGGTGTACAAAAAAATCAGTGATTAAAATAAACAGCACTTCATGTTTCTTAGAAATATATAGAGTAGGTGATGTTTTTTGTTATGCATTAAACGTAAGCAGTATTTTAAGCTTGATTTAGGTGTCCCATTCACATCAAGTATGTGGTTTCTAGCTCAAATTCAGGACTATATTGATTGTTAGCAGTCTTCTCTTTGTTTCTGTTTTTCCTAATTCTCATGTATCGCTTTTCTCTGTATAAATATTTTCCAACTCTTAAACCTAGAAAAACAAGATTTTTTTTTAATGTTTTTTAAATTTAAAAAATGGCAGTAGGCAGACTCCACATCATCAGTTCTAAATTACTTCTGCGCTGGCTATGCCTAGAAATGCATTCTCTCTGCTCTGGCATTGAGACAATATAGTAAACAATACTAGTGGCAAAATGGGGAGGTATTAAAAAATACTTAATTTTTAAAATGCAGTAATATGTGCAAACATTATGCAAATATCAGAATCATTTTACACTAACAACCATTGCAGGCGCCCTCATTTACATTCTTATACCTGTTACAATGCCTGCTAGTGTTGCTGTAAGACCCGATGGATCCTAGTGATGAATTTTCTGAATCCTGATTGAATTCTGTTCCATCTGTTCAATGAGGTCATTATTCTGTGACATCACTATAGGGATAAAATATGGGGAAAAGTGAGATTTTTTTTTTTTCCTGGATTTTTTTGCAGAAGGGAGTTGAGCAAGCATAGCATCTCCCTCCCCACAAAAGTGCTGCTATACTCAGCCCGTTTCAAGTGGCTAATGGTTATTTTTTCCTTGTTCTGTTATTTTATTACACTTCCTACACAGTAATTAGTAGCTATGTCTGAAGGGTTCCAGACCTAGAGCGGTGTTGGCCTGAATAACCATATACATTAAGTGCCACATTAGCAATGCCTCTTTCTTAATTGTGCACAGTAATGCATGTGTCTTTCAGGACTACAGCTTGTTATATGAAGAAGCGAAGTATTTCCAGCTTCAGCCCATGCTGGGAGAGATGGAAAGGTGGAAACAGGACCGGGAGAGTGGCCGCTTCACAAAGTCTTGTGAGTGCCTGGTGGTGCGGGTTGCCCCAGATCTTGGAGAGAGGATTACACTGAGTGGCGATAAGTCATTGATAGAAGAAGTGTTTCCAGAAATCGGCGATGTGATGTGTAATTCTGTCAACGCCGGCTGGAATCACGACTCAACGCACGTCATCCGATTTCCACTGAACGGATACTGTCACCTCAACTCAGTTCAGGTAGGAAATCACATATGCATTTTTTGAAAGGGAGCCTGCTGGCCAGGTACCAGTGGGCTGACCCTCGTCCATGTCACTGGAGTGTTTTGGTGAACAAAATCAGCTGGAGGCTTTAAGCTAGTTATTTGCTTCTGTGGGTCAGGATGTCTTTCTTGATTTAATTACATATATTCCCCAAATCTCTTTGCAAGCAAACTACAGTAGTGTTAAAATTTTCTGTGGTCTCAGGAAAGACCCTTCGCTTTCACTTCCAGTGGTTTTTCCTAAGTTTTTATGGCATAGTAGAGGCCTGTTGGGATTGATAGGACAAGGGGTAATGATTTTAAACTACAATAGGGTAGATATAGACTAGATAAGAGGAGGAAAATTTTACAGTGAAACACTGGAACAGGTTGCCCTGAGAGGTGGTGGATGCCCCATCCCTGGAAGCATTCAACGTGAGGCTGGAGAGGGCTCTGAGCAACCTGATCTAGTTGAAGGCATCCCTACTTATTGCAGAGGGATTGGACTAGATGACCTTTAAAGGTCCCTTTCAACTATGATTGAATATAGCAATGTCTAAAATGTCTAAAATACAAAATGATTAAGAAAAAATCTGGGAGATAAATGTAGGTAATTTCTGGAATAATTATAACAGGGTCATGTGTTTTGTCCTTTGTTGGTTAAAAATAACCAACCTCACACACCTGCCTGCACCTAGTTAGACGTCCTGCACAGCCGACACTTTGGAGTGTGACCACTTCATATCTGGAATCATCACTAGCACAATCAATGCTGTTAGGTTTGGACACACCTCCTAAACACTACAGACTCATGAGAGAATTCTTATAGAGAACAGGTTTGCAAGCTAAACTTGGTGTCTTTTCATCTGCCAGGTCCTCCTGTCCAGGTGGAAAATCATAGAATCATTAAGGTTGGAAAAGATCACCAAGTCCTGCTAATGCCTTAGAATTCTGAAGAATTCTAAGGCATCACAACCTTTGAACAAAACACCACCATGTCAACTAAACCACAGCACTAAGTGCCACGTTCAGTCATGCCTTGAACACTTCCAGGGATGGTGACTCCACCATTTCCCTGGGCGGTCCATTCCAATGCTCAACCACCCTTTCAGTGAAGAAATTCCTCCTGATGTCCAACCTGAACCCCCAGCAGCACAACTTGAGGCTATTTCCTCTTGTCCTGTCACTAGTTGCCTGGGATAAGAGGCCAACCCTCACCTGGCTACAACCTCCTTTCAGGTAGTTGTAGAGTGATAAGGTCACCCCTGATTCTCCTTTTCTCTAGATGAAGCAAGCTGAGCACTGGGGCATGGACTGAAGGCTGGCCAGGCACTGCACTTGTGCTAGCACTTAACATAAGCGTCTGGTAGACCTGTCTAAAACTATCTAGATAGGTCTAGATAACTCATGTTATGCTTGGACAGTTGTCTCTTACTGGCTTTGCTGTCATACTGAAACATCAAAATGGCTTTTGTCATAGCCATTAATGCAAATTTAGAACAGCCTTGGATATAGGATTACAGCTGAAAAGGGATAGGACTTTCAAGGAGGGTTATTTAGCTACATGTCATATGATAGTTCTCAAAGGACTTGTATCCTTCAGCGTTTTGTCACTTATTCTGATGCTTACATTTTTGTTTCACAAATAAGAATTGCCAAGCATATTTACTGATGTGAAAAACCTGAGTCAGAGTGGCAAAATATGCACAGGCTTCAAGAGAGATGATGATCCCACATTAATAATGCTGCATCTTCCATTTTGGGGGGACATAAGCATCTCCCAGTCCTAATAAAAATGTGAGACAGGACAGGGACTACCAATAGACAGTCTAAGCAGAGAGTGAGGTACAGACCAAATGTTTTGTCCAGGGCTGTGCTAGTTTACAGAGTTACTTCCCCCACGTTTTTTCTCAGGACCCAAGCTCTCCTGTTCTATCTAGGTGGCTTACACTGAGATATTTGGGGGGGCAGGAGTGGGAATTTTGGCTTATGTTGCTAAAAGCTAAAGAACAGGGTAAACAAAAATTGCACAGGTGTGCAATTGGTGTTTCTGAGCCTCTTTTTCCAACCCTTTCTTTTTGATATGTCTGTTGTGTAATTAGCCATGCTCAGGTAATTTCAAAAAACATTTGCCGACCTGGAGCATTTTATGTAAAAACACAGCATGTCTTTGAAGCATTTTTAAACCACAGCTTGCTTCTGCACCCACCATAATCCTTTGCAGACTTCTGCTGTTCTGCTTGCCCGTGCTGTCCCAGCACCCCTGCAAGCCAATTTGACAAGTGGTGAAATAGCTAGGAAAGCCTTGGGAGGCACCTGCTCCCAGCACAACCTTGGTGAGCATCGTCCTGTTCCGCTGAACAGAGGGTCCCATGTCCTGTGGGATCCAGGAGCATTAGCCTCCTCCTTGGGGTTGGTGGCTGTCACAGCTGACCCTGGTGAATCCCTGGAAGAGTCTCCTTCATAGGTGAGGCAAAGGAAGTCCAGGCAGCAGAACAGATGATCATAAAAGTAACAAAGAGTGTAAATAAAGGAAAGAATGTCTCAGACCTGCAGTTACGGTAAACCAGTGTGAACATAGGTCATTTAAAAAAGGTGGAATAGTGGTGTGGAAGGAGACCATGCTCTAAGCAGCCTCCTAAGCACTGGAGCCAGTGCTGGGAGCTGAGGTCTTTGCACCATCATTTGTTGAGTGAGCTGTGTTGGGTGCATCCCCCTGCCACTCCAAGAGCCCTGCCTGTCTCTTCTTTTTAACTTGTGGATATTGTTTTTCTTTTTTTTTCTTTCTTATTTTTGCCATCGTATTTCCCACTGGAAGCAACACTCTGGCTTTGTGAAAAAGGAGGAAAGAAAGTGAATAAGCAGAACTCATTAGTTCCATAATTAAAGTTAAAAGGTCTCAGATTTTACCATAGGTAACTGTAACCACAAACCTTCAGAATCGCAGTTGGTTTTTAAGTCTCCAGTAAATATCATGATAACTTTTTTGAAATTATGACCATGGTATCTACATTGTCACCATTTAGTTGAGAAATCTGCTCACGTTGGCTATGCAATCCTTCATTTTTCTTCTTAATTGCTCAGTGGCTATAGTTGGCAGAAATCAGTCCAGTACAATTAGGCTGTGTAACCACTTTTGTTTCCTAGCTGAATCCATTTGAAAACACCAGTTATTATCATTGGACAGCAAATAATCTATTTATTTACTTATATATTAGTGTTTGTTTCCTCTTTTTTTGCAGGTACTTGAGAGGTTACAGCAAAGAGGGTTTGAGATTGTTGGCTCATGTGGAGGTGGGGTGGACTCTTCCCAATTCAGTGAATACGTACTGAGACGAGAACTCAGAAGGACATCTCGTGCACCTTCTGTCATTCGAATAAAGCAAGAGCCTCTGGACTAAAATGGACATGTTTCTTTATGCAGAAAAAAAAAAAAAAGAAGAAAGCAAAGAGGAAAACAAAAGGGGACATTTCATGTGCAGTTTGGACTCCAAACAAGTCCTGGAACTAAAATTGAATAAAAGACGCATTTATATCGAATATAGAGACCACACCTGAATTCATATGGGAACACTTGGAATAGTAGTGATAATAATAATAACCTCAAGATATAAAAGAAAACACACACACACATAAAAAATATGTATGTATATGTATGTCTGTACATATATATATGTATGTATATGTCAAGGGGTAGGAAATGCAATGAAAAAAAAGTGGTAGATGAGGTTGGTGCTGTGATGGCCATTAAGTGTCCTAGGCCCTACCCGGGCCCACTTAACGGTGTACAAGCCATTGCCATGGGGGGTTCATAGACTACTCTTCACCCATTTTCCATTGCCAAACAGCCATCCACTTTTTAATGTGTACACACCTTGATTCAACTTTATTTGCATATGGAGGTTTATGTCTGTCTTTTTTAGAGGTGGTTGGGCAGGTGTTCAGGAGATGACCATCCATGGCACTGGAAAGCTTGTCAACTGAATTTTAAATGTAGTTTGTACAGAAGTCGCACACTTTTTGTCTGCCCTCACAGATGTGAAAGGTTAACTTTTCTTTTGAATTAGTCTTTTTGTTGTTTTTGTTTTGTGTTTTTCAAAGGGGGCCAGAATAATTAATATTTGGTAGAGATGCTCTGGTTTGAATCTGCTGCTTTCCTACAATTTTTTCAAATTTTATAATGTATTAAATACAATAAACTCCTGTTTAAAAGAACAAGGGTCTGGTTTAAGCCAACAGAAGCAGAGAGGTGGGACTGCACTGCACTCCACCGTGTGGAGGGGTGGCCACTCTGGCAAAGCAGTGAGTAGGCAGTGCTGCCTGCGCATGGTGGAGTGAGTTAAAGGCAGCAGAGGCTGTTGAGGGATCTGTCTGGTGGCACATGTGGCTGGTATTTCTTCAGCACTGTGTCTTTTTTAAGTTTTGTCTCAGTTGGAAGAGAAGCTGTTGGTCAAATGTGACAATAACACCAGCTCAACCCAGGGAAACCCATCAGAAAAGGACACCTGGTTCTGTAACCATCAATGTAACAGTGACTCCTTGCATCATTCCCTCCTGATTAAGGAGTTGGTAGCTTCAACTCTCCAAGCCCTTGCCTTGCTGAGTGTTAGTCAGCCTGTTTGGTTTTAATGTTGTTAATTTCCCTCGTTTCAAGCCATTGTTCTCCTGCCTAGAGAGCGACAGCTCCTTGTGTCACGCCGTCGGCTGCGCTGCTCTTGGTAGCAGGCAGTAGGTAAGTCCATGTCCTGCACTGGATGTCCTGCGAATTGCTCTCCTGCAGCGTCTCACTGAGGCCACCTCTGCAGCCACCTGGTTCAGGCCTCTGAGGTTTTGCAAAGGCAACATATCAACGATACCACTGCACAGACCCTTCACAGGTTGATGCTTTCACCACCTGAGATGCACCAGCAATTGCCACCTTTCCTCCAAAGTATCTTTTTATGCAATATTACTGAATATGAGTGTGTATTCATCCTGGTATGAAAATTTCTATCAATGCGATGGTGCTCGCGTTCCATTAATTTTGGTGACACTTTGCTATTTATTTAAGAAAAGAAAAAAAAAGAAATTGTTAAATACGTGTAACAAGGCTTTTAATATACTCTGATAACTAAGAAAAAAGTTACAATTTTTCTGGTTTTCATTAAAAGACGTTAGGGGACATCCTTAAATAACTCTCTGGCAGCACATATTGTTGGTTTTGAAATTACTGAAATGTGAAAATGGGTGAGGGAGGGGGCTCTAAAAAGTAAGGTTCATTAGCAAGTTGTTAGATCTTCAATGTGATGCTGATCTGTCTATTCACAGTACTGAAACAGCTGCCTTATTGAAAATGCTTGTTTTCAATTAGCAGCAATAAGTCCTCTTACAAAATAAACAAATGCTTGCTCTTACTGCCCACAATTTGGTTGTTAGCTTGCATAGAGGTCAGAAATCTAGAACCCTGGGAAATAAATATTTTTTTAACAGATATTCAAACCATCTCAAGTGGTATGAGATTTGTCATGTCCGGTAAGATGCCAGTCCCCGGGGGTTTGAGAGTACGTGGGTACCGGTGCAAGGCGACGTGATTCTTCAGAGACTGCTGCAGAAACCCTCCCTGCACTTCTAGGTGGAGCCTCGCTTTCTAGGGCCTCTGCAGTGGCCCCGGGGATGTTTACACTGTTCAGCCCAAAGGTACTTTCACATCCAGACCTGCCCTGCTAGCCACCATGTTTACATATGGGCACATGCTCCACTGCAGACTGGAGCTGGGGGGGCGTGCAGCTCCCAAAGCCAGCAGGTTGTGCTCAGCCAGTGGTTTTGCTTGCTCAGCATGTACCTGTCCAAGTCAATGACACTGAGGATACCTCCGTGCTCCTCCCAAATCCTCGGCTGACCAGTCATCCTCCCACTGAGCCTACATTCGTTGTTGATGGAGTCAAAAATCGCTCTGAGCCCCTGAATGTAAGTGTCTCTGCAGTTACAATGTGGTCTAGGAGTAAGAGGTCATGAATATTCGAAGTGATGGCTGATGAAAAATGTATGCAGGAATAAGCTAGCTGTAGATATTTAGAGAGCAAATGAGATTAGTCCCGTTTGCAACTGAGGTTTGGAATCATGTGTTTTTAAAATGTTCTTTAGAAAAGCTGCTCAACAAATGAGCAATATATCCAGGAAGGCAAGCGAGTGGGGGGAACCAAGAAGGACCAGATTGTGCTCAGCTTGTCTCTGGAGGTTAATAATTTTGACATGTACAATAGTTTAAATTTATCTAATTTTTTATTAAAAAGTATAACTCCATTTTATGCAATTAGTGGTGCTGTATTTAATAACAGAGGAAGAGCGGCAGTGAGCAGTAGCTACAAATGTTGTACTTCGGCAAGCTGGTTAAGCAGTTGCCAGGAGCACTGCTGTGCACGTGCAGAGATTGCAGATGGCATCCAATGCCCTGTCCCACAGTGAGACACAGGCAAAGGAACTGGGTCTTCACCTTCGTTTTTGGTATTCTGAATATTGAATTTCTGCAATAATCGTCGACCCAGGGTTTAGTTCTTCCCCTATTGCCTTCTTAATATACCAAACAACTGCGTAATGTAAGTATGGATCCTGACATGCTTGGATGAACCTTAAAACTGTGAGTGTCCCGTTGAAGACTGAGCTAATTTCCTCTGCTCTGGAGACAGTGAAGTCCTGCTTAGTCACAAGGTTAATCTCTCTTTCCGGAAGCAGTACTTGTAAATAGGTGCTTCTAATTTATTCTGTCTCCAGGTACTTATTGGCCAGGTAGTCTGGCCCAATGAATGTTTTTCCTCTCTGTTGCCACAAGTCTATAGAAGAAAGCTGATCATCTCAGTGCTTGACTGGCACAAGCAAGTACAGCTGAGGCATTGTTTTATGATGCCTGATAGAATCCATAATGAAAACCAGTGGGGACAACTTACCTCTGAAAGCATGAAAGTTGAGCCACCCATTCAATTATTTTTCTTTATGCTGAGCAGGCACTGATTTCAATTTGAAGAGAAGCGTTTTGTTCATGAGCATAATTTTTTGCAGCAACCTTTAAAAATTGACTGCTATACTAATTAACAGGGTTTTTACTGCCACCCAAAATGACTTTTCAAGTGAATTCTTCTTTAATGTTCACGTTGTATGACTTGAGTAAGGAAAGGTTGGATTTGGGGGTCTGAGAAAGGAATTTTTGTTGATGGATGGTCCCTTTTTCAGAGAAATAAAAGCATTTATTTCCATCTGTCATTTCTTCACTGCAGAATTCTGTATTATGAATTATTTCTAGGGACAACTGGTATTTGTATGTCGGCATTCATGCTGCCTGAGGTTTATTTACAGTGGAAATGAAACCAAGACATCCTTAGGGCCTGTAGACCAGTTGCTTGTTCTCAGACTTCAGTTTGAGTGGTTTATTATTTCTTGAGGGTCTGGAGGGATCACCACCACCAAAAATCAATATGTTGCATCAGGTCCCTGTGTTGGCTTTGGCTGCTATCCCATTGATCTGGTTTTTGAAGACCCCAAAACAGACTGAGCATATGGGATCCTTTATTTGAGACTGAAACTGCTAAAATCATATCCCTACTCCCCTTACAAAAGAAAAAAAAAAGATGCAGGTACATTCACAGTACACAAGTTCATCCTCTCGTAAGCTGAGCTAGCTCTGCTAGGTGGTAACTAGAATGCTACATCGATGCTGGAGGGAAACCCTAGTGCTAACCTGCTGAAGTATCTTCAGTTTGCACAAGGAGGGGCTCCAGAAATGGAGATGCCCCCTGACAGATGGGGAAAATTCCACATTTTCTTGAATCTGTAATTTATTTTTTTTTTTACATTTGTTGACAGGACTTAATACGAGTCCTGTGCTCCTAAAATAGTGAAGAGTGTATTATTTTGCAGATGATGTCAGAGATTGTGGGCCAAATCCCACCTTCTGCCATCTGCACTCATGGTGAACTTGCCTCACACCCAGGTTAGGAGTCAAAGAGGTACAGTGTGGTCATTGACTGTCAGTATCATTGCATCGGCAGCAATAGTATGTCATCTCTGTTACCTGTCACTTCTAAAACTACAGATTTATTCCACTTCAGGTCAGAGGGAGCGTGGGTTGATCAGACTCTTCTCTCTCAGGCTCACTGAAGCCCTCTGTACATGAGTTCTTCTCTCTGGAGAGGCTGTTGCTGGTGTGAACAGGCTGGGGTTTTTTGCTTCTTGGGGAGCATGAGGTGTTGGTGACCTTGCCCAGCCCATCGAGCCATGTCCTGTGGTCCTCAGAGCATAGCTCTGGCTTGATGGTTTGGGGAGAGATTGAGGGAGGGAAATTTGTCTCTGTGCTCTGGAGTTTGGACTGATAAATGATCTCATCTACAACCCTAAATGGTCTTCTGGCTTCTGTTATGTAGCTTGTCAGTGTTGTTATTAATTTTCCTGAG